TTAGTGAAAGCCTATTCTCACACCACACTAGCTTAAAAATCATATAACACTCGGCTTCTTGGCGAATCAAGTGAAGAGAAAAGGCCTAACAGTTTACTTGAACTCTAGGGCTCGGGATTCCCATGTATGCTAAGCGTGGGGAGACCCTTACTCTAGGACTAGGCCTTGGAGAAGGAATTGGACCGTATGGTGACGGAAAACGTGCAGAACCAGGCGAAATCCGAGGAGACAAACTGACTTGTTCGAATGCTTGTGACTGCAGCTCCATTGGATAATCTCTAACACACCCGATTCTTGGACCAACCCCACTTGTCCATTTGCAAGACAACCTCTTTGCCAGCTCGAACACCGGTCTTTCGCTTGCTCTCTCTCCTTCTTCTTTGCCCTCTGTAATGATGATTGTTTCTGCAGGTTTATTCTCTGCTTCCTCTTCTTTTGATTCTTCATATTCATCGCCAGTGGATTTGAATGAAGAATATTCCTCATTCACAGAGCACCTCTGCATTCATAATCCGATTAGTTAATACAGCCCATTGATCAGATTTAGCATCTACGAAACCAAAATCTGATTTCCTTACCTTAACATTGGTGAGATCAACATTGTTCTCTTCCAGGAAACTTATGAATTCCTTAAAGTTGTCTTCTGTTGGGAGGTAGTGTCCACTGTATGGCCATATAGCCTGAGAAATAAGTGTGTTTAAGGTCTTTATTAGCTCCTCAACATAAAGTGTAAGAGATTAGTATTGGGAAGCAGAACAAAGTCGAAACACACGGGTAGTTACCTCGAGAATCCCATCGCGGGCGACCAGTCTTCCTGCAGCGGTTGTGGCACCTCCAGACAAGAAACTCGAGTGTTGGAAAACACCTTTCTTCTTCTGCCCTACGTATAAGGTTCTAGTGGTGCTAAGTACAAAAATCGACTTGGATTCCTCCGTGGAATTGATCAGAGTCATGCTCTGTTTATACATAAGTCTCCCATCTTCCACTATCACTTCGTATGCTTCTCGCTCCATCTGCAGGTTGCAGAATACAAACGTTTATGAGTAAGAAGAAGGTAAGTATGCGAGACTAGGTTGTTTTGTAGGTGAAACCGAAAAAAAAGACTCACTGGTCCGAGGTATTTAATGCATTGTTTCTGCAGAACACTTCTTGGGTGGTGTTCAAGATTTACATCTTTTCCATCGCCAATGTCCAACCTTCAGTTTCAAATAGGTGGAAACAGAGCTCAGAACAGGTTCATACATAAGAAAGAGATAAAGAGGATATGGGACTGACCAGTAGAAGAATGGTTGTGAACTCTTGCTTGCGGACCAGACATCGTAATAGAAGTGCAAGTTGTGGCCATAACGATGGCGTGGGTCAATCTGAAAATGCAGGAAAGGCACAACTTATACAAAATCCAAAAAAACAGGAACATTTGTTCATGACCAAACCAATCACGGGGACTTACAGCTTCAAGCCAATGCTGAAGAGCTAACTTCTGAGCTTTTTCATCTTTTGACAAGCCTTTTCCAACCTAAGTGACAAACAAAAGTAAGATCCACATTGGTTTTCGTTGTGAAAAGAGAAACAACCCCCTAATAATATCTTAAGACCACTAAACATAGAAAACAACTAGTGGAACTAATGTCAGACCTTAGCAGCTCGTGTTCTAGCTCGTGCCCATTTGGAGACTGCGGTTTCATGCTTCTCTTCCTCGAAAAAGGAAACCGAGCTCAATTTCAGAGCTGCAGCATCCAGAGTCTTCCACCTACAATACATTTAAAGAAATGAAAGGGTGGGATTAGTGTCAACAGTTTGTACCACATTACTAACAAAGCAGAGAGAAAGGTCGAGAATCATCAAGTAGCGCACCAGAGCTCCTCAACAACAACGGCGCAATCTGCTAGGTTCCTTCTTGTCCGGTAACTCTTGTACACCTTCTGTAGCGTAGTTGCAGCTGCATCAAGCTCGGTGACTGGTCTTGGGGAGAAGAACACAAAAGGCTGAGGGGGAATAATCGTGGGTTTCGTTATTTGAATTCTCTCGCAGGTTCGTCCGTTCAAAGCGTGGCGAATGGGCTTCTTTGTGTCCAGAATCGGATCAACTGCCTGGCTCATCGGTTGAGTCTCGGGTTCTGCTGGAATTTCCCAGCTATTGAAGCTCAAAGACCTCTCCATAGTGGGCTTAGGAGAGTTTTCCGGCTTCAAACCGTTGTTTCTTGATGTAAAGCTTTGGTCTTTCAATTTGAAGCTGAAGGATCTTATTTCAAGAAAACTCTCGACAGGGTTCTTGAAACTGAAGAACTGGTTGGTCAAGACTTCCTTCCAAGCAGACAAGAGTAGTGAGAAAGAAAGCCCCATCCTTTGATAAAACAAACAGGATTCTTCAAGTAAATAGCTCCAAAGACCAATTTACAAATCCCCTGTCCCTGCACACGCATCAATTAAGATCAATATCCTGTTTGTTGACAAAACGAATCTTTCTGTAAAGTAATCAACCAACTGCCATTAAATATATTGTTTTTACTGAGATCATTGCTATCATCACCAACCCAATTATTGGCGCCGACGATAGGGTAAAAGTTTTTAGAAAATGGATAAAATCATCTCATTCAGAGATTTCAACAAACACATTGTGAGCATCTGAAAAGATTCAGAATACCCAAACAAACACAAGGTTCAAACTTTATGGGTTTACTGATCTTCTTTGATCAGAAGATAAATCATAGGAAAAAAATCTCACGTACCTCAAGGATTGAAGAGAATTACACACCAGGAAGGAGAAAACTCGTTGTTAAAGACTTAAAAATAAAGTCAAGTATTTTCTCTCTCTTCTTGTGTAGAGAAAACCAAATGAACACGACCACCAAGTTGAAGAGGAAGAGTACTATATATCCACAGTTGAATATGCATAGTGTGTGTGTGTGTAGTTGACGAGAGTATTAAAGGAGTTAAAATTAAAACAAGTCCTCGTTTTACAAATCGTTGAATATGAGAAAAGCTTAACGAAGATTCAAAGATGGTGTGTCTGAAGAAATATTAGTTTTTTTATATGGTGATATAGAAAAGTAACAAAATAGTATGATAAAAAAACAGAGCAGAGGGGGAACCCACAGGACACGCAGTAGGTGGTAATCAAAGGCAGCTTCACCGAACTTATTATTCAGAAAAAGACAATTTATTAGTGGAAAATTGCAAAAATGCGACTTTTTAAGTGTATTTTTGTAAAAATGTCATTTAAGGATATTTATTTATAAAAATGTTACTAATTATAGTTTTTTAAATTCTATATCTTAAAATTCTAAACACTAAAAAATATTTTGACCCCTAAACTTTCTCTAAATCCTCGTAACTAAACCC